TGATGAACAGAATAAACTGGTGAATGGAATAGAATCAGGGGCATAGAAATAGGACAGACAGACAATTCTCAGAGGGAAGGAGGTGTGGCGGGGTGCAGGAGGAGATTAGACAAAGATCTTATATGCATGTATGCATTACTTATGGACACAGACAATGGGGTGGCGAAGGCCTGGGGTGGGATGGGAACAGGGTGGAGGGGAGCTATGGGGGGAAAAAGAGGAACAACTGTAATAATCTGAACAATAAAGATTTAATTTTAAAAAAAAGAAAAAAGAAGATAAAAAATAAAAGTAGGAGGTAACATACATTTAATGAACATTAGGAACTATGTGCCAGATATGTGCTAGGTGCTGAGGACCACATTCATATAAAAGATTCTCCTACTGGGGACAATGGATTAAAAAGGGACAAGACCAGAAGCAGGTAGGAAATTTGCAATAATCCAGGTGAGAAATCATGGTGGCATGGTTTTAGAAAGTTATAGTGGTGATGAATGGAAACAGATAGATTCCAGAAAAACTTGAGAATAGATAGAATTGAGAAGACCTGGTGATTTGTTTGTGGTAAAAAGAGAAAGGATTAATAAAACGGGTTAACTGGATGGTTGGGGATGCTGTCACAGGAGGATGTTTTGTAGAGAAAAGATGATGAGTTCAGCTTTGAACATTTCATTTGGACATACTTGTGGGATTTTAGCTGGGGATATCTGGTGGGCAGTTGGATATACTGGTCTGACATTCAGGTAAGGGAACTGAGCCTTAGTAGAGATTTAGAAGCTATCTATATATAGATGATAAATAAAATCATGGATTTAATGAATGCCTAGATAACAGAACTGTGAAAAACACAAATTTATACAAAGTAGGTAGAAGAGACTTTAGCCTGGAGGATACTTGAAGAATTAGTCAAAAGAGAACACAGTTAAAAGGTATGTTATGGAAGGCAAGGGATTGGTGTTTTCATGAGGAAATGATCCACACTGTCAAAAATGTTATCAATGAAAGCAGTTTCACTTAAGAGACAAGGATTTAGACATTCTTGGAAAGCTGAAATATAGAGGAAATAAGATATCAAGCTAAGGAAAAGAGCACAATAATAGCTCAAGTGTGATGTGGATTCAAGGGAGGTATTTTTGTTAGGTACTTTCTTTTAAGGATAAGAACTTTTTAAAGTTGATGACTGGGATGGCAGGTTAAATAAAAAGTTAATGCCAAGAGGAAGAGAGTGTAATGGAGGGAGAGTAGGGGGTGAAGATGAAATAAGATGGACACAATGTATTGGTAACTGTTGAAACTAGGTAAGCACATATTTTGCATTAGTTATATAATAATTTCTACTTTTTAAAAAGCTGCTTAAAATTTTCCATAATATAAAAAAAATGTAAAGGAAGGCAGTGAACCTTGTGCCTCCATATACAAGGAAGAGTCATTTTGAAGTTAGTAGATGATAACCAGTAGGTTCTGGCACAGAGTATGTCACTTGGCATGGGCCTGGAAGGTAGCATCTGTGTTTTACACATAGAGAAACAGAAAGCTGCTCAGAGCACTGGGCAGAGATGATTCCAACACTTTCCTCCTGACCCGGAGCTTTTGAGCTTTGGGAGAATTAGCACCTTAACTGAAGAGGGTTATAATGGTAGTGTTGCCATTATAGACTGGTTTCAATTAGGGAGAATTTCTATAGAATGAGAGTGGTCCTTAAGTTAACTACAAAACTGCATCTATTTTTCTCACAGATTACTAGAAGGTTTTAGGATTCCATCTCTTAGGAATGGCATCCAATGTTCACTGACTTTTTTGTTAATTCAGTATTTTATTCAGTTATACACATTTTCTTTTTTAAATCTATTTTTATTGATTTCAGAGAGGAAGGGAGAGAGAAAGAGAGATAGCAACATCAATGATGAGAGAGAATCATTGATTGGCTGCCTCCTACTGGGGATCGAGCCAGCAATCCAGGCATCTGCCCTTAACTGAAATCAAACCTGGGACCCTTCAGTCCACCGCCCGATGCTCTATCCACTGAGCCAAACCAGCTAGGGCTATACACATTTTCAATGAAAGTACTTGAAGGAAAAATTATTTTAGGTTATTACTGTGCATTCAATGTTTGAATCTAAGGACAGTCAATAAGTGAAAATTGAGGAATGTGTACTTCACAAAACACTTCCAAGGAAGAAATGACAGGTTTTGATAACATTTTTGTTGTTGTTGTTAATCCTCACCTGAGGATATTTTTTCTGTTGGTTTTTCAGAGACAGTGGAACGGAGGGAAGGAGGGGGAAGGAGAGAGAGAGAGATCTGGTAGTGAGAGAGACACATCAACTGGTTGCCTCTTGCCCATGGCCCGACCAGGACATGGAGCAAACCTGAAACCCAGGTACATGCCCTTGATCAGAAATGGAACCTGAGACCCTTTGGTGCATGGGCTGACACTGTAAACTCTGAACCACACCAGCCAGGGCAGGATTTGGTAATTTTTTAAAAGGTATCTTCAAGTAAATAATGTACAGTCACTTTTTTAGGTTAAGAGTCAGAAACCATAAAATTAATACCATTAATTTCCTTTTAAGAGTGAAACAAATAAATGTGACATGTATAATGTATTATGCAGTCAATAGATGGAGCAAGAAACATGTTATATCATTACTTAGTAATAAATAACCATTATTGATTGTATAACTGAAAAATTGTGATTATAGAAGCTTTAAAGCAGGAATAAATTATTTGTTTATAGTTAAAACCTGTTTTTAAATTTTAAGGATCATCAGTGGGAAGCAGTCACTGTGCCTGAGGAAGAAGTACAAATATACTACATTAAAGGTATTAATCTTATTTTCTGATTCTCTTCTTGACTCTTATCGTATGGAGTACAAGTTGGATGCTGTCTGGGAAAACTAAATAGGCTAATGAAAGCAAAGTCAACCTTTTCATTATGTTCACCTTCATAAATTTGATGGTTACTTTCCCCCCTCCCACAATCTCCCAGCTCCCTCCTGTACTTATTTCCTTCTCTGTCTAGTCTACAGTCCATGAACAGTCACTTTCTTGTTAATATGTTCAGGGGTCTTGCCCTTCCATACTATTTGTTCAATTAGATCCAAACAACTCCAACTGCATAACCCTGGTGGACAAAAGCAGACAGTTTGGCAGACTGGCACCACTGCAGGTTCAGATATCAAGACCTGTTAGTCATTGCAGTTGGCATGGGGTAGAGCAGCAGTCGCCATCCGATGGTCTTCAGACCACTGGTGGTCCATAAGGTCCGAAATGTTGGCAACTGCTGGTTTAAGGAAACCTTTGGAGCAGCGGTCGCCAACTGGTGGTCCATGAGGTCCGAAAGGTTGGCGACCACTGGGGTAAAACATCATGACAGTTCTTATTTGTATTTTCCTAATGACCAGTGGTATTGAGCACTTTCTCATCTGCTTAGTGGCCATTCATGTGTCTTCCTTTGTGAAGTATTTATTTAAATATTTAAATATTTTGTCCATTTTTTTACTGGACTGCCTTCTTTTACTACATTTTTGAGTTCTTACATATACTAGATACCAATTCTTTGACAGATGTATGTTCCATGAGTATTTTTCTCCCAGTCTATCTCTTACTTATTTATTTTCTTAATGGTCATTATGAAATGGCCCTATTTTGCCTATGGTAATATTATTTGCTCTGTAATCTACTTTATGTAACATTAATATACCCTTCTAGCTTTTCATTGGTTAGTTATAGCAAGGCATATATTTTCTTTTATTTTTAACTTATTCATTTGTGTGTGTGTGTGTGTGTTTAAGGATCATCTATATGTATATATAATGGATTTCTTGTAGGCGTCATATATTGGCTCTTGTTTTTTAAATGTAATTTGTAATTTTTAAATGTAATTATTGATATACTTTAAATTTACCATCTAGCTCTTATAAAATCTTGCCATTCTACCTGCCATGTTTCTATTTTTCTCTCTTTTTCTTCCTTTGTGTTAATTAATTTTACATGCTTTCTATACGTATATATAATAGATTTCTTGTAGGCGTCATATATTGGCTCTTGTTTTTTAAATGTAATTTATAATTTTTAAATGTAATTATTGATATACTTTAAATTTACCATCTAGCTCTTATAAAATCTTGCCATTCTACCTGCCATGTTTCTATTTTTCTCTCTTTTTCTTCCTTTGTGTTAATTAATTTTACATGCTTTTATTGTATCTCTTTTATTGGCTTTATACTTCTTTTCTTAGTGGTTGATTTAGGGTTTATTTGATACATCTTTAACCTAATAGTGTGTATGTTCAAGTAATATTATACCCCTTTATGTAGAGTATAAGAACCTTGTAACACAATATACTTCCAAAATAGCATAGAATGTTTGCTCACTCAATTTCTCTTTTGTTTTTTTTTTTTTGCAATAATAAAAAAAAAAGTATAATATAAAATTGACCATCTTGGCCATTTTTAAGTGTATAGTTCAGAATATTAAGTATATTTACATTGTTGTGAAATAGATCTCCAGAACTTTTGTCATCTTGCAAAATTGAAAGTCTGTATCCTTTAAACAACTCCACTTTTCACCCCTTCACCTAGCTGGTGATAACCACCGTTCCATGTTTTATTTGTATGAATTTGACTTTTAAGTGTAATTAATTAATCTTCATCTCTAAAACCTGAAAACTTAATGTTGAAACTCATGACTCCCCCTAGTAACCCCCACCCCCCCACAAAAAAAACAAAAAACACAAAAAACAACCACTGGCACTGTTTGAGTTAGAAAATGTTGCAACTATTTCAAACAATTAATAATTCTTACTTCTATCAAAGGACATTACTGTGGAAGTTTCATGACTGTATAGTTGCAAAAGCAAGTAAGACATTTTCAGCTGGGTAGCCTCATAAGAATCAGAATGTTCTAGATTGCAAGATAGTGACTGGCAAGAAGGTAGGGAGGGAGAGTGTGTGAGAGAGTGAGGGAGTGATAGAGGAGTGTGTGGACGTGTGTGGTGTTTGTATGTGTGTGAGCTAGGGACAGTTAGATCCTGCAGGTCTTCCAGGGGACTGCCAAACCGGGCAGTCTTAGACAGCGAAACCCTGCTGCCACCACAGACATTCCAGGGGCAGCCAGCACGGGCACAGAGACCACGCCATCTTGAAAAACAGAATTGCTTGAGACTAGTATCCTAGCCTCACCACCACCCAATCTGGTCTCAGACGCAAACCAGGACCCTACAGCCGCTAGGGACAAAGACATGCAACCACAGCTGCAGACCCACAGACACCAAGAATCCAGACATTCTGGCCCCAGATTTCTGTGAGTCACAGAGCCCAACCCCCTCCCCACAGGCCCACTGCAGCAGCATAGGAACTGCTAGACTCACTCTGCGCAAGGAGGCCTCCTGCCCACACAGGGCAGCTGTACTACCTGAATTTGAGCCTGGGTGCTCAGACACTGGGAGGCTGTTTCACAAAGTGCGCACTCACGTGACCAGACCCCATGCCCACACAAGGTGGCTGCGCTACCTGAATTTGAGCCTGGGCGCGCAGACACTGGGAGGCTGTTTCCAGCAGCGCGCACTTGCGCGACCAGACCCCACACAACACAGGGAGGCTGCGCTACCTGAATTTGAGCCTGGGTGCACAGACATAGGGAGGCTGTTTACCACAGTGTGCACTCGCGTGACCAGACCCCACACCCACACAGGGCAGCTGTGCCACCTGACTTTGATTCTGGGCAAGCGCACATGGAAGTCTGTTTCCCACAGCACAGGAGTGGACCTCCCGCCGACACAGGGTGGGTGTGCTACCCAGTCCCGCAAGCAGACCGGGGACCTTGATTCTCCACGTGAGAGGCAGCACTGAGCACCAGTGACTTGACTCTGTTTCTCATCATACACACATGGGATCCCTGATTCCCAGTGCATGCACATGAAGAGCCAGTTACTCCAGTTCTCAGCGCATGCACACACAGGGACCCTGATTCTTGGCACAAGGCCCCACCAAGCAACAGAGACTCTGATATTCAATTCTTGGTGCGGGCACAGGGGGACTCTGACTCCTGGCATGTGCTAGGGGACTCTGATTTTTGGCACACACCAGTGGAGTTCCTGATTCTAGGTGTGTGCACAAAGCTGCACTGAGCGCTGGTGACTCTGATCCTGGGTGAGCATGGCTCCCACCAACCTATTGTAGCCACATGTCTTGGTGTTGGAGTTCTTCAGTGACACTTGTGTGGCACGGAACTCCCACTTCACATGGCCCAGACCCCCACAACTAGTCATTTGAACCTTCTGGTGATAGCTAGAATGGGGAGACAATGAAACAATCCCCAGAGGAAAGAAAAAGAGGAATCACCAAGGAAGGAAATAAGTGAAACAGAGGCATGCAACATGACAGAAAAAGAATCCCGAGTAATGGTCATACAGTTCATAAACCTGATGGATGAGAAAATCAATAACCTATGCAAAACTCAGGAAGAAATCAAAAGTGATATAGCTACAATCAAAAACGCTATGTAAGGTTTCAACAGTACACTAGAAGAAGCAGAGGACCGAATTAGTGTGTTAGAAGATAAGGTAGAGAAACAAGCCCAAGCTGAACAGCAACTGGAGAAAAAAATTAGAAAGCAGGAAGAGAGCCTATGGGAGATTTGGGACAACTCGAAATGAAGAAACATACGTATAATAGGGCTACCAGAAGGACAAGAAGAACAGCAAGTATTAGAAAATCTATTTGAAAAAATAATGACAGAAAACTTCCCTGATATGGGGAAGAAAAAAAGTTACATAAGTACAGAGAGTCTCAAGCCAGATGAATCCCAAAAGACCCACACCAAGACACGTCATAATTACAATGGCAAATGTTAATGACAAAGAGAGAATCTTAAAGGCTGCAAGAGAGAGACAAAGAGTTACGTACAAAGGATCCCCCATCAGATTATCAAATGATTTCTCAACAGAAACATTTCAAGCTAGAAGGGAATGGAATGAAGTATACAAAGTGATGCAAAGCAAAGGACTGAATCCAAGAATACTCTATCCAGCAAGACTATCAATCAAAATTGAGGGGGAAATCAGGAGCTTCACAGACCAAAAAAAGGCTAAGGGAGTTTATCACTACCAAGCCAGCAATGCAAGAAATGCTAAAGGGAATTTTGTAAAAAGAAGAAATAGAAAGGGAGGAAGTAACACAGACATAAAGTACAGAAATGGCTACAAACAAGTACCTATCAATAATAACATTAAACGTAAATGGATTAAATGCCCCAATCAAAAGACATCAGGTGACTGAATGGAAAGAAAACATGACTCATATATATGCTGTCTACAGGAGATCACCTCAGAACAAGGGACTCACACAGACTGAAAGTGAAGGGATGAAAAATATCTATCAGACAAATGGAAATGAAAAAAAAAAAAAACTGAGGTAGCAATACTTATATCTGACAAAATAGACCTCAAAGTGAAGACCATAATAAGACACAAGAAAGGCCAGTTCATAATTTTCAGGGATCAATACACCAAGAGGATATACTCTGGTAAACATTTATGCACCCAATGCAGGAGCTCCCAAATAAATAAAAAAACTTCTGGAAGATATCAGGGGAAAGATTGACAGCAATGCAATCATAGTAGGAGACTTTATTACCCCATTAACATCACTGGATAAATCCTCTAGACAAAAAAGTTAGCAAAGAAACATCAATCCTAAACAACTCACTAGATCAGATGGACTTAATTGACATCTTTAGAACATTCCACCCTAAAACTACAGATATACATTTTTCTCAAGCACACATGGGACATTTTTAAAGGTAGACCACATATTGGGACA